GCAGGGTGCATGAGGCACACTGTCTACGAGGGCGGAGGTAGCATTGTTTGCCGGTGAGGCGCAACTACCAGTCTGGACGGCGGACCCTTTCTACACAACCTCAGATAGTCAACGCCGGGGTGCTTGCACTCATGGCCTACCGGTCACCTGCGATGTACTGTACGTTGGGGTCTGTTTACCCGCCGTGCGTATACCTGAGTCACCCAGGCCATAGGAACGTCTTGAGGAGAGAGACAGAGGGCGGAGGGGGCGGGCTTGGGCCCTCCCCGCGTCAACGGTATTTCACCTACCGGGCCCCAACCTCTACAGGATGGTAGGAAATGCAACCCGCATCGTACTGCTCGGATAGCGACAAACGAACTTACTCGCGACTGTTACACCTGCTCAGGTACTGGACAACTATATTCCGACAGCATTGCATATGGGCGACAACAATGCGTATGGGCTTCTATGTGAGAGCTCGTCCTGGAAGCGAGAGGTTGTTCGTTAGGGACCAGCACCACCGTGAAAAACCAACAGCAATGGCGGTGAAAGTCTAGGTCCCACGGTTTGTGCGGTCGCGACAACACCTGAGACATCACTCTTTCTTTCACAGTTTTTGCTTGGTAGTCGGGTCAGCGCAGGGCGGGTTAGGCTCGCATATGCGGACTCACTCCATCAGCCTTGACAACCCGCAACGGGTTTTGAGGATGCATATCATTCACACGCGTGTTTCGTATCCTAGTACCTACTGTTAGTGATGTCCTATCGACAGACTTCCTTCCAAGCACGCAACATCAGCACTCCCACTCCAATGGAACCCCCCCAAGAATCCGTGGCTGCAGCGAACATAGCAGCACCAGCTCCGATACTCTGCAGATCTTTCGTCAGTCTCCACGTGCCCGTCTACTCGACGCGACCACCGCAGCTCCAACGATTCCCTACACCAACACCGAATGAGGTCTTCGGACCAACTACAATACTCGTACTGTACATGCATCCTGTCGACACTCCAGATATGATAGCCGAGGCGGATGCAGCCATGCTGCGAGATGGCCCTGCCGGTGGCGCTAGTTGACAGCCTGATCGGCATTAATAGGTAGAGCGGCGATTGCGAACCGACCCTCGCCGACCGTGGTCCACATCTCCGGTAGTTCGAGGTATTGTTGCCCCTTGATTCTGCCATGTACACGCCTTCAATAGTCCGTCATGTTGATACCACCTTGTGGTGTTTCGTCTCCCTCTATTTCGCTGCTTCCTACTCTACTTCTGTATACTGTACTGTCCGTGAAAAACCTTGACCTTCCTTCTCACCCCGGGCCCGTTAACTATTCAGGAACAATCCGAGCACTCGACATTCAAGCACCGGTCGAACGGTACATCACCAATCCTTCCTCCGCGTGCGCTTTCGATACCCCTCCAAAGCCAAAAGCCCGACATACTCTACGTTGCCGATATATCTTGGGAAACCTGTCCCTCTACTTCAATTCGTGCAGTGCATCCTTAACCCTTGTTGATGTCGCACATGTTCCAACACCGACCGAGCTTCACTTCGTGCGTCGAGGAGCACGACTGGCTTTCGCTTCGCTCGTGCGGACACCAAGTTTAGTGGAACAGCCCGAAGTCGGCGACGTTTCTGCCGGAGAACAAAGAGTCCATGGCAGCATCGAGGATTAGTGTACATGATTAGAGGTCACTTTTGCCAGAGAGACCGGAAGTAATCGCATCACTTCGGGTTAGGGTTAGGGTTAGGGCTACACTACGAGCGTTGTCACGTGACCCTAGGAAACCTCCATGATTCACTGCAATAGCGCCTAACACGCGATTTGTGGGCCCGACGTTCACCGGCTCGTCGCGGCTGGTGTCGTTGGCATGCTGACTGGCTGGTGGAGGGATTGAAGGCACGGGCAGTATCCCTAGAGTTGTGTCGACGGAGCGTCGCCATCGCCAGGGGCAGCACTCAAGAAATATCGCTTGTGTCCTGCAGCAGCCAATCAGACTGTCGCTACATAGATGGACTATCCAACCTGCTAGATTTTGGAGATCACGATTCCTCTACTAGACCACATTGCTTGCCGTACTCATGGATCTTCCTTCCGCGCGTCCTGCTCGAGCAGAAGAAGGAACCTTCTACGAACAATTGCAGGCGCGCGGTATAGTTCTGCCGTCTACTATCCATGAGAAAATGTTTGCCCGTCTTGTTATCTTCCGAGGGAAGGATGGTGGCTGCATACCTCGATGAAGCAAACACGTGGACGGGATTTTAGAGTGCTTGGTACACCGACATGGTGTAGGCACCACCACACATCTCGTCGGAGTTGCCCGAGCAGGGCATGTCGCAGACGCCGAAACCGTTGGCAGCGTAGTCGGCGTTGTCACCGCACCAGCACTGTTTCATGCAGCGGCATCAGTATGCAAGGGGGTATGAACAGGAGGAGCGCACGGGTCTCATCATGCTGAAGATGAACCGCATTGGCGAGGTACGGTGTTGCACGAAGCCAGGTGAGATTGGTGATGCGGCAGTGGTGGCGGTTTCAGAACAAAAGCACCGAGATGCGGCTGCAATGTTCGAAATCAATGCATACAGGTTGCGCTCCTGACTGGTTCTGGAGAACGCGACGAGCAAATCAAGTCGCTAAATCATGGCGATGCTCCGTTCGTGCCATTCGTCATCCTTTAATTGTCCAGAAACAGACTCATCTGCAAGTATCATTTCCAATCCTTTCGCACGTATTTCGTCGGCATAAAGACGGTGAGTGAAGGCAGAAAAACTACACAGAAACGGTCCTGGTACGTCCCTCGGTGACTTGGAGTAGCCAAGGTACGACGGGGTGAAGCCAACACGTTTTCCATTCTCAAGGGAACAGGCACGTCATCATGACTGGGCACGGTTTTGAGGCATTTGAGATTCATCGAGGATGGGCCAGCAACTACAGTACGCCAAACCGCAATCCTTGCCAAAAGCTTCGGAACCAAGTTACACTGACCGCCATTGTCACCCACGGCCCACGAGAGCGCTCGACACGCTCCTAAGACCATGTTTCTTGTGCAACACTACCCCATAACGAACGGTCGACACCCTAGAAGAGTCCGTACCTCTTGAGAATACTGGGTTCCATAGTAGGCCGAGCCGCTGCAGAGCGAGGCGCAGACCTGGTTGTTTGGTCATGTGCGAGCGTGCGCAAGCAATGGTCGATTGTTCGGGTAGGGGGCCGGGAAGAAGTGAGGACCAAATCGAAACGGGAGAAGGTCGGGGTGTGTTGGTTGCGAACGCGTTTGACGCTTTGTGTACCAGCACTAAACGATGTCGGGAAAACAAGAAAAGCAACAACAACGACAGCAACAACAAAAACGAAGCACACATTTCGACTGCGCATTATTCCTGTTGACAGGTTAGCGTGCTGGAAACGACGAAACGACTTTTGATCGGAAACAAAATTGAGTCACCTCTGCCGTCATAGAGGAGGTAGAGCTCTCCAACACGAAAACGCGGCCGTCGGCTGGGTCCGAGAAGCACCCAAGGTACGCGGGGTCGTGGGCGTAGACATCCATGTTGTAGGACCCCCCACAGGTTTCGTCGGAGTTACCCGAGCAGGGCATGTCGCACACACCTTCGCCGTTGACCGAGTATGGGGCATTGATGTCCCCGCACCAGCACTGTTTTCGACGGGGTGGTACAGTGAGGCGACAAGGGTGGTACATACAGGGGAGAGGGGGGTTTGGTCTTCTCATGAGGCAAGATGATGCATATTCATGGTGTTGACGCTTGGACAAAATGAAGGAAGGCGTATTGATGTGTGCCGTGGTGTCAGGACGAGTGACGCAACACGGGAGGCAGCAGGAACAACCAAAAGCGCCCCTAATGCCCGACCCGGGTATCCCGACCCGGGTATATATGTCTGTCCCCTTTTGAGAACACCCTTTGGGGACACACGATATAGGGCCATACCAGATCAACCGCGACAGAGCACCAAGAGGCAAGAAGAGTGACTGCGGAAAGGTTCACAGACCCGAACCCATCCCGATGGCGTAGTCTGAGACTACAGCAGTACACTGTGACAACGACCTCACCTCTGTCGAGTACTGCGTTCCATAGAAGGCCGAGTCGGAGCATTGCGACGCGCAGAGCTGTAAACATTTCGTAACCCAATGATCGATCATCAGGACGACGGGGAAAGGAGTAGTCATTATAGGGGCATTGCCAACCAAGAGCACCGTCGAGGGCTGGTTGCAGCGATGGTGAGGTGACTTCCGCGTCGATTTCGAGAGCCTCTGACCATTCACGGGCGATGCCAACGCGGTATCGACATCGGGAATCATGCAGCGGCAAATTCACATTTTTCCAAACCCTACCACAGGGCATGCCGCCCACGTCAGGACAATGCTAAACAAATACACGCGACCGAAAACGACCGCTTTCACGCATCTATCGCTCTCCCGCTCACTTCTGCGGTCATGGCGTCAGAAGAATCGTCTTGCACGAAAACGCGGTTGTCGGCGGGGTCGGAGTAGCAGCCACGGTATGTGTTCAGAATGATGTTTTCGGTCTCGTAGACACTCTTGCTGTCGAAGCCTCCACAAATCTCGGTTGAGTCGCCCGAGCAGGGCATGTCGCAGACGGCTTCGACAGTGTAGGAGTAGCCGGTGAAATCATAACCGCACCAGCACTGTTGCGTTCGGTATTGTCGAGAACGGGGGGAGAGGGTACAGTGACCGGGAGGGCAGGAGTTTCATGGCGACATTGTGCCGTACATGACATGTAGTCTACAATACGGAAACGTGTGGTAGGTGGGCGATATCGTGATGGTGCGGAGTTCGAGAACGGTTGTCATAGCAGCAGCAGACCAAGAAACAGCAGGGTCTGGGGTGCGTGCAAGCGGTCGTGAGTCAGCCGATATGCTGGAAAAATAACAAACGTCCGTCCCATAACCTGCATACTGACCGAGCGAGAACAATAATATTTTGAGCTTTTCCTCCGAACCAGCACGTTCCGCGACAGCTTCTGGGACGGGTGATATGTACTACTGTAGCTCGCCTTCGTGAGACTTTTATCAAAACCAAATAGACAGCGAGAGACGCGGACGGGAACCAAACAGCCCGACTTTTTTAATCACTGGCGGGAGAGAACAGCACACGATTTCCAGTTAACAAGTGTGGTCGAAGGAAGCGCCGACCCGCTGGTCCTCCACACCGTGCGGCGACCTTGTTCAATGTGGGCTAGTTGTATATTCAGAACAGTGTTCGTGGCGCACGGCATGCGCGTACGCCACAACTCCCATGGGTGGTGCATTCAGTAACGAGTCGGTGCACAGAGGAGCGAACGACAGCGTGCGGAACCGACATGATCCGAGGAACATCGGTGACTCACAAAAGCCACCAGGACAAGGGCAATGGCGTGGTTGCTGAAAGCCCATTGCAACGTCCATGGTGCAGTTCCACCACCACTCGCTACATTCACGACCCACGATCCACGCTTGGTTACTCGTGGCGCATCGTGGACGCCTCACCTCGGTCGAGTACTGCGTTCCGTAATACTGGTACGCGCTGCAGAGCTCCGAGCAGACCTGGGTCGGTTTTTCACGTGGGGGCGAAGCCAATTGTCGATGTGAGGAAGCCAAGCGAACGGAGAGCGACATCGAAGTGTGGTGGGCGGCGGTGGCGTGTTGGTCCGACGATGATCCGTGAACACTTCGTGACAACGGGTGAGCAACGAAATACCACGAATCCGCAACAATACCACGCCTTGTGACAGCGGCGCATGACCACATCAATAGCTCAACCCACGACCCCAGGCTTGCTTGTTGCTCACCTCCGCGGTCATGTCACTAGAGGAAGCCACCAGCTCGAAGATGTGGTTGTCGGGGGGGTCGTAGAAACATCCAAGGTAGTAGGGGTTATCTACTTCGTGTTGGCGAATAGACATGGCGTCATACCCGCCTCAGAACTCGCCGTCGGAGGATCCAACACAGTCGAAGTCGCAGACGGCCGGACCGTTCTGCTCATAGTCGGCCGTCCCGTCATCGCACCAGCACTGTCTCGAGAAAACAACGCATGCCACATACGAGCAGATATGGCCGGGGCAGAGAGAGAAAGGACAAGTACGTTTCGTCTTCACAAAGATGCGTACGGCATGATTGCGTCGGTTTCTGCCATACGTGTGCGTGCACATTCTCTGTTTCAGCCAGCTTGTTCTCTCCAAGCGTCAGGCGTCCGAGAAGTTCACTCTACTGGTGTATCTCTCTTCTCACCTCAGTGGAATACTGCGTCCCGTACAACGGATAGTCGGCGCAGAGACCTTCACAGACCTGCAGTGTGGCGAAACAGAAGGGCGTCGTATGGCGGTGTTTTCCGAGCTGAGTGAGCATCTATGTGCCCATCAGGAGTGGCGCACAGGCCAAGTCAACATGATGATACAAGGTACGTGCGTCGACGTCTGCATGCAATTCGTATTGTGTTGTGACGTCGACTTGACAGTTGCGCTGTCGTCGCCGTGGGCACTGAAGAGAGACGTATTGATAACCCCGGCATATGGTTCTTCTTGCCAATGGCGTCGTGTGACATTTCGGTTTCTCGGCGACACGCTCGCAAGAGAACCACACGGAACGTACATCATCTCGCCACAGAAGGACTGAAACAGGCGAAGTCCCCAACTGATACGCACCACGCGACCAACTCCTCGATTAGAGCCCGAATATCCCCGAACGTGTTACCCGGATTTCGAAGAAAACCGATTGTAGGAGGGCGGGAAAATGCCGGTCTGCCGCCACCTACAGCATGTTGGGTCGCCACTGCTGTCCTTCCGTTTCTTCACGCGCTCTGCAGCTTCCGCTCAGTCTTGTGCACGGCAATGAAACTTCTCTTTCGTTGTATAAACCACTCGTTATCAATATTTTATGCCGCGAGTGGTTTCGAGATGGCGACTCGACTCGTCTACCACCCGGATAGGAAGATGGTCAACATTTTTTCTATCTCCATCCCCGGCCATAGCATGCAAGGTGATTGATATTTCCTGGCCTCTTCGGCCATGCTGGTGGGCAATACTGCAACCCCACGTTGCTCTTCACGTACCAAATACGGCTTGGCTTCAAAACATGGAACAACACCACCGGACAGTGCCGACATTGCGGAGAGATGAAACCCAAACTCAACTACAGCGCGGTAGTTGTATAAGAACAATCGCTATTCTACATGCGCTGGCCCCTCACCGCAGTAGTCATGTCCTCCGATGAAGCGATCTGGATGGAAAACAGCCGCGTGTCCGCCGTGTGGGGATCGCTCCAGCATCCAAGGTAATTGGGGTCGTTCGAGTATACGGAGAGGGCGTAGGATCCGCCGCATATCTCATCAGAGTTGCCGGAGCAGGCCATGTCGCAGACGCCGTCGCCGTTGTCGGCGTATCCGACGTTGTCACCGCACCAGCACTGTTTTGGGGGAACGGCGAAAGGTTTTGGGTGCAAAGGGTGGTGTGAGATGGTGTCGTGGGTTCGAGAGTGGCATGCGGCGCTCTGTGATATGCAGAGTGAGCGGAGAAGGGTATGCTTGGCGGTGGCGGTGCCGCTGAGCAACGGCCGAGAAAAGTAACAAATGAAATATATCTGGATTCACGAAGGACGCGTCTACGGAGTGGTCCCGATCGTGAGGCAACGGTTTCAACTTGTGCGTGTGTGTGTGTGTGTTTTCATCTAGTCTATACAGTCCGATATGGTCATGCTAAAGGAAAAAACGCTGACCTCTGATGTTGTGTGGCGCAAAGGGAAGGTTAGCGTATCAAGAAGCGAACAACCAGCCAAGAGACGCATAGCGGGGACCTACCAAACCCGATGGCTTAGGGAAGCCAAAGTGCAACGGCTGAAACGTTGAGACCTCCTTGTCGTTGTTTGCAGGTATAGAGAAGGCATGGCGCCCAAGTGTGACCATGTAATCATGCACGTGGGTCCGCAACGTCCATCCCCGGTACCAGCACCACATCTAAACCTTGCTGTCGCGATCTTTCGTACGCCACCCCACCGTTGATCAGTGCCTGACGCAGATAGTTTCGAATCTGACATTCTTACCTCTGTCGAGTACTGGGTGCCATAGAAAGCCGAGTCAGGGCAGAGCTCGGAACAGGCCTGTCGTCGAAGGGTCGTGTGTATGCACGCGAGGCGGTCGAAAGTCCGCACAGGGAAGGGGTGACGTTCGCAGATGGAAATATGGCAGCGCTGGGGTGGTGGGTCACTGGCAGCTATTTCGAGAGGGTGGACAAATCCTTCGCGAATACCGCAGAGCATCAGCAACAACAACCGCCGCAAGCGGGCAACGCGAAGAGCGCTATCCATCTCGCCTATAACCTTCCCGCTGACAACGCAAAGCAACCAAACACACGCGCACAACATGTTATGTATTGTATTTCCGCCCATCGATCGGTCACTCGCCTCTGCGGTCATAGCGGAGGTAGAATCCGAGATCTCGAAGACGCGGTTGCCAGCAGGGTCGGAGAAGCACCCGAGGTAAGATGGGTCATCGGACTGACCTTCTCCGGCATCAATCGGACGACGCGGATCTCACGAACTGAGCAGAGACCCTTTGTCAAGACGCCCCATGTGCAAAGGCCCACGAGGGACGAACATATATGCTACTACCCTCGGGGGATGGCTGTACGTAGAATCGGAGGTGAGCAGTGGTTTTGCCTACATGAGAGGTTATGCCCCGGGCGTCGGGCGCTTCCTTTGATCCTTCGAAGAATAGAACATTTTATAGTCAAGTGGATGAGGGACCACAATGATCATTGCGTTGCTGCTACAAGTTAGACCCATTTGTCCGAGGTTGGACACGTTTATCCGTAGTTATGGCTACGGTTAGAATACAACAGTTCCCTTCGAGAATCGACGCAGCTCCTCCGAGTGGCGAGAAACCTGTCTCTGGCGCTGCCCTGCTCCTGGTGGTCGACAGTCGTTGAGATTCTTGGCATGATCGTGGGGTCCGGAGATCTCATGCACAACGCAAGAACTCTGATACCGCCAACCGAGTGGCGAGAAACCTGTCTCTGGCGCTGCCCTGCTGCTGGTGGTCGACAGTCGTTGAGAATGTTGGCATGATTATGGGGTCCGGAGATCTCATGCACAACCCAAGAACTCTGAAACGACCAACTTAGGGCACACTCGTGTGCGAATAAGATCTCCAAGACCATTGGCGAACCCCGCCCTTTTGCCGTGAGCGCGGGGTGCCCGACTCTATCGCCCAAGTTCTCGGAGCGGTAAATTCTGGGTGCTGAGGTAACGAGCACGCACCTGTTCAGCCCCGAGAAAGCATCCATGATACTGTTCAGACATTGAGAGGACGACCGTTTAATCCGGTCTTTGTGTGCACGCTTTATCTTTATCTCTCACCAATGACGACCCCAAGAAGGATCATCGGTAGCGCCAGTGAAAGGAGATGCATCTTGACCTTGAGATTGCTGAGAACTGAACACCTGAATAGGAAAGATCATCGTACGTTAGGCGTACGAAAGATGACCCAAGTCATCACGAGGCGGGGCAAACTTCCAGGCATCGGGGGAGGGCTAACCAGTGCTCGGGGTAATTGACACAGCGCAGTGTATTTCTCCGACAGTCTTCACGAGTTCTCCCTTTACTAGGGGCGGAGTTTGTTGTGAAGAAAGACCCGACGTTCTCAGACTATGTAGTCTACAGGGTAGTCTACAGCACATGGCTGTTTTCTTTCCTCTTTGTGGGCGAGGCGATCATGGCTGGCACCGCCTTCCACTCGATAGATTCTATGAAGCATCATACATAGAAAGACCCCAAAATACCCAACATCATTTACACACTCTTGCCAGTGGAAAAAATTGCTTGTTCTCTTGTTGTATAGAACAGAATCGGGTTGACTGCACTTTATAAGGAGCGGTGAATGTACATGTAGAACGAAAACAATACACAACACGTACCAGGCCATCTACACGGACACAGGCTGCCGCTACGTCGAACAACCGCATCATACTCACAGTGCCTTTTTGGGGGTCGAAGGTATGTTGCGCTGGTCAGGAGTACAGATGGGGCGATATGATGGAGTGTGTGAGCTGGTGGGCCAGAGACAAGAGGGTGGGCGGGTGTCTCGGATACCCCATGTGCGATCTCGCACACGATCAAGGCGCGGGAAAAATTATTGTGGAAAAGACGCAGTCGGAACAAAAAAAAATGTAAGATAAATGTGAGCGTCTGTTCAAAGAGGCGGCGAGTGGCGTGAGCGTTCACACGAAACCTCGTACATCTCCTCTTATGGCGCTTGCATTCAGACTCTTTTCATTTTCTGGTGGGAAACAGGTATCGACACATCTACGCAAGCGCTGTTATGTGTCACATAATCTACGGCAATCTGCTACGTGGTGTGCGGTGTCTGCTCGGTGCTTCTTGTGGGCGTCAGATGGTCGAGGTAAACCACTGGGCGAAACCCGACAGTCCCGCCGCAAAGTGAAAATGGATTTGTGATTTGCTCAAGAAATTTGGATTATTAGAAAAAGCGACAAGAAATCAGAAACGCCGAAACCAAGAAATATCAAAACCAAAATCCAACCTATGAACCGAACCATTGACTTCCTCTCGGACTCACTAGGTATCACTTATCGGGCCAACCCGACGTCTATGCCCAGGTCATATCCCCATACACACAAAAGTCAACGCAAATTGGAGAACAAATTTGGCACTAGACAGATTTTTCTCTTCCCATTGATCCCTCCTCTCTTGAGCGACAGGGTGGGTGGGTGGGAAAATTCGATCAAGTCCCAAACGAAAACTCTTTTCTCTCGCTGCTGCTTTGCTGCACTGCCTTTGCGGGCGATGCAAC